ACATTCCGAACTGCGCCATGTTGCTGCGATCATTTTACTGCTGGGTCACACCCCACTGTATGAATGCTCACAGTGTGCTTACCCATTTACCTGTTAAAAGACTGGTGGCTCATTTCCGATTTGTGTCTTTTATGAAGAAAGCCACTGCAGAAAGTTACTTACTAGTTTTGTGGGCACCTCCTTCCGGGCCATGCTGTCAGAAAATGCGCATGTGTAAGCGTGACCAACTCTATTCTTCCATAAGCCTTCGATCCAAAGCCATCTTCTCTGTGACCTCCACACAAGCAAGCTCCTGGGGCCTCTGCCGTGCTGGATCTACTGAACTGTTCTTTCGTCCTTTAGCTAACCCCTTTCTAGTGCATTCTGTATTTACTGTAGTGCCTGCTAATGCACACACCCACCCCTGCTAAAAATATGTTTCATGAGTGTAGAAATCCTGCGTTTCCCAAGTACCCACAATGACATCTGGAACACAGTTAAGAAATAAAGAGACTAACATTAGCTTAGACACCTAAGGCAGCTCCCTGGAGAAGTCTAGGTGTGGTCAGTTTTAGGAGAGTGACATCAGGGGAAATAAGATTTCTAGCATGTTTGCTAAAACAAAGAGTTGGTTTGTTTTTTTTCTTTGAGATCAGAAAAGATCGGGTCTATTCAGGGTGGTTTGGCCACAGACAAAGTTTCTTTCTTTACACAGAGACCTATCTGGGTAAAAACTGTTCTGCAAAGCTGCATTTTTTTAGACAGTCTTTCACCTTTTATAGCCCAGGCTAGCCTGAAACTCAGAATCTTCCTTCCCCAGCCTCTGAAGGCCTGGAGCTATAGGTCTGCAACCATGCCCAGCTTTCCTAGTGAGGAAGGCAAGAGACAGCACTCAGGTCTATACACAGAAAGTGTCCCGGCGTACAGGGGTCCAGCTTTATCTTCCCGTAAATTTCCACATCTCTATATGATGGCCCTGACTGGCGGCCTGCTTTCTTTTCTTACTCTGAGTTCTATTCTCATTATCCTTCCACTTCTTTTTATCCTCAGGGAAAGCGAGAGCAGTCACTGCCAGGGCACTCTCACGTTTCCCATAGCAATGGCATAGGTGTTAATCTTGTATTTATGTTTGATGTGGGTAATGATGGCTGTGACTGCAGCCTGGTTTATTAATATGCAGGGCTCTCACCTCATTAGTGGTGATGCATGTTTTGAAGTTAAGCTGCACTGTTTGCTGGAATGTCGGGTCTGGCCCAACACACGTTCTCACTGTTCACTTTCTCTGTTTTGACTCCCGGTCAGTGCTCACAGGCGCTCACTAATATCTGACAATGAAGACAGCTTGTCCACAGTAGTTAATCTTGGTAAGTGTTGCAAACACTTTAAATATGTACATCTTCTTGTGATGATGCCACATTTGCTTTAGCTTAGAAAAAGGACTTACGGGATGTTTTGACCCTGTAACACAAAGCACAATAAACTGTCTCCTTGGCTGAATTTGGATATGGAGTATTTTATTGATAGGACAGAGTGATTAATTCATAGTTATAACAAAAGTCTACCTTTAGGACTAACATTTGATCATTCATAAAGTCTTCTCATGTCTATCTTCTCAAATGCTGAAATGCTAAACAAGAGACAGCCGACTGACCAGAGCCCTCGACAGTCCAGCCTGGTAGCTGCAAGCATTTCCAGATGACATATGTGCTGTGGAGTTACCTAACAAGGACCAGACTAACAAGCACGGAGGGATAAATGCTCTGCTGTTGCTTCATCTTTAGACTCCTCTGCTCTTTCGTTCCCACTTAAACTGTGGAAAAGACTCTGGATTTTACCTATGCATTTTCTGTAGTAAAAGCCAGGACACCAAACCAAGCCCTTTACATGGGAGAAAAAGTCTGTCCTTTTGTATCAGATAACCAAACGTGTCTCCAGTTCTTTATTTTAAAAAAATGTGTGCTCTTGAGTATAAAGTAATGTCATTTTAATGATTTCCTGCTCTGTTTGGAGGGAGCAGCCTTAGAAAACGATGATCAGAGGAGAACACAGGTTCTTAGTACTTAGACCAACACAAAGAAGCAAAGCGTGGATCACTCATTAGTGTTTTTCCTCTTCTTTTCCTGGCTGTCTTTTCACACAGCCTCGACCATCCTCCCCCAGCCCCCATAAAAGGACCCAGCTTTGATTTGACAATGTGACACATATTCAGATGTATTCCCATCATCAGCCAGAGGAAGCAAAATGAGTCTGTGTGCATGTAAGAGGGAACTGCAGCAAGCGAGCACACAGTACAAGTGTATAAACAACCACATTACCTACTTAATTGCCTTAGCTGAACTTAAAAGCTCTGATCTTTAATTGCTTGATTGAACTCATCTAAAAAGCTACAATTTTTTAATCAAGGAGAAAATTAAATAGCTTTTGGTAAATAAAAAGGCATCTTTAATCTTATTTTTATGAAATCCAAGTTATTAAATACGGACAAAACCTACTCAATTTAGGCTAAGTTTCTCATTACAAAAGTCTTGAGGGACCCAGCTTCTTTCACTCTGAATTCAGGAGGTAAAAGCCTCTGTGAGTAGCTATGAACTCTAAGGCCAAACATGTAAATCTATTAAGTGAGGTGTATTACCACAGCACACTTCTTCTGAGAGCTGAGTGCCAGAAATACATACTCACTTACACTATAATCCTGTCACCTTCCAACCCAGGCAGATGCGATGCACAGTCCTTCCTGATTTGTACTTAAAGGTAAAGTCCCTGGAGAGGCTTATGGCAAGCCCTCTGCACTGTTCTCACAGACACTTCCCACAGCAAGATTTTAGAGCAGGCTTACTCCAGGTGGTGAGTGGACCAGAAAGACTGAAGAAAGACTCAGGATTCTCTTTGGAAACCTCTGGATAGTTCAGCCACGTCACCACAACCCTCCCCTACCACAAACCAAAAGTATTTTCTGAGCCCAAGCTCTAAACAGCAAGGGAAGAAGGTACACTGGTCCCCAGAGGCTCTGGTCATCTGTGCACGCCTACATGACCACAGAACTGTCCTGGCAAATGGACCCTAGGCTTTATCTTCAGATGCCAAAAAATTTGTCTGTGAAACATATCTAATGACATATCATTTCAACAAACAAACAAACAAAAATCTGGTTATTTCTCACAGAGTGAGACTAACCCCAAATAATTTAGAAACAGGAGTTCTGGAGGTACAGCACCTTGTCACTTTTTAAAGAAGAAAAAAGAATGTTTTGGAGTAACTCAGGCACACTTCCCTGCCCACCAGAGTTCTAAGAAGAGCGGCCACATTTTCCATAGAGAGTTATGGCCGAGACAATTCGACGGTCCAGAATTATCAGAACAGTCCTAAGTTTCCATTGGTAACAACACTCCCATCTACAGAGCACGGTGCTTTAATGACGGCTCTGCTCCTGAGCACTCATTCCCTCAGAGCCCATGCCAAACATACAGCACATGTGCCAGCTACTGGCACTGGCTTCATGGGTGGTGCACAGAGGCGGAAGTGCATGGAAGACAGAGCAGCTCTGCCAACCACATTAAAATGTCCCCTTTCTTCCACTCACCAGATGTTCACATACTGATACACATGGAAGTAATACTCACCCGGCCTGGGTCACTCTCCCTGCCACCACTCTGGTACCATTTACTCAATGGCTTTAAAGGGGGGAGGGATAAAGTCGGGGGTGAGGCTGATGATTACATTTAGTCTGTAGGAGTGCCTTAAAAAAACTGAATATTCTGCTCTTCCAAATGCAGAGTTTCTCCTTCAAAAGGATGAAGGATGTTTGGGACTATTGAGAATGCCTATGAAGACCACAGGCCATGGTGCTGGGTAGGGACAAGGTGAGTCTTAAGAAAAAAATTCCAAAAATTGGAAACCAAAATGAAATTTTAAAAACGCTTTAGTCACATCTCCTTGTCCACTGCTCCAACCCCCAAATGCACACAAAGTAGGAGAAGCAGGAGCACACAGATGTGCGTCTGCCTTTGTTACCATCTCTTTCAGACATTTTGACAACATTAAACAAGCGAGAGCAGACTCCTCCTTTAACAGGCACGCTACCAGAGCTTTCTCTTCCCTGTTGGCAGAACACGTGACCATTCTGAGTCTTTAATTAGTTCCTTGTTTAACAAGGGACAGGGAGCGGCCTCAGAAAGACACCTGAAGTACTGGAAGGGGAGAGTTACACCTGCAGGAAAATAACACAGTACAAGATATGCCTTGCAAGCTCTAAAAACGTGATTCACAAAAAATATAGTTACCTACTTTGTACTGAAAAAAGCAGAAGACATGGAAATAAGAGAGAGAAAATAAGAAAAGTAACGTTTACAATCAGTTTTTGATGGTCGTTATCAGCTGGCTGAAATAAAAGTCTTTTTTCCATACCATTTTTAAAGTTTATTTTCTTATTTATTTACTACATTCATAAATACTGATTAGAAATACTTGGCTCCCATTACCAAGAAATGTATTTTTTTTTCTACACAAATGAAAACAGGTTATTAAGGAATTACAATATAAAGACTGAAAATATGCAAATATGCCGGGCTCAGTGGTGCACACCTGTAATCCCAGCACTCAGGAGGCAGAGGCAGGCACAATTTTGTGAGTTGTTATTTTTTTCTTTTCCTTTCTTTCCTTTGTTTAAAAACCAATTTATTCACTTTGTATCAAAGTTGTAGACCCTCCCCCACCCCCCACCCCGGTCTCCTCCTGGTCCCACCCTCCTTCCCTCTTCCTCTACCATCCCCCTCCTCCAGTCCATGATAGGGGAGGTCCTCCTCTCCTACTGTCGGACCCTAGCCTATCAGTTCTCATCAGGACTGGCTGGACCCTCTTCTTCTGTGGGCTGGCTAGGTCCCCCACCAGGGAGAAGTGATCCAGGAGCAGGCAACTGAGTTCATGTCTGAGACTGCCTCTTCCCCCCTTACTAGAGAACCCACATGAAGAAATGCAGAGCCTCCCCCATCCCCCCACATTCATGTGTGTAACCCAGAACATACCTCTGTGTAAAATCTTTAAACTCCACAGATACGTAAGGCCTTTAACAACCTAGAATTGTGAAAGGTAAACAGTACAATTATGGACATTATAGAGGATGCTCCACAGTTAAACAAATCAACCACAATTTAAAGAAAAAAAAAAAAACCATTTTCAAGCTGCAAGTGCCTCTTGAACACCTCCCTGTCTGTGCAGGCTCCCAGGCACTGCAGAGTTCCACATCCTGTGTGGCCGGCTTCCTGCACTCAGAAGACTGGGTGTGTGCCACAGAACAACCTGGAAGGCCACACACTAAACCTCCAAAGGTATCACGGGCAGGTTAGGAGAGAGACAGAAGGGAGGGACAAAGACTTTTAAAACAATTTTTCAATATTTCTGAATAGTTTTTTAAAAAATGATTTTATTTGTTTCTATTTTATGTGTGTGTTTGTATGCATAGATGTATGTGCACCATGCGTGCGCTTAATGGTCATGGAAGCCAGAAGAGAAGGTCAGATCTCTAGAACTGAAGTTCCAGACAGTTGAGAGCTTCCCTGTGGACATTTTAAATTAGACCCAGGTCCTCCGCAAGAGCAACAGGGGCTTTCAACTGCTGAGCCATCTGAAGACAGCCCCTGGGTGTCATGCTATTTATGATGAAGGAAAAAATAATGACTTTTATCTTTGGGTACTGATGGAGAATAAGCCCAGGGCCTTGGCGTGTGCTCAGTAGGTGCTGTTCTAATGAACTATATCTCTAGAACAAGAATACTTAAAGAAACTGACTCAGAAAAGGAGTTGGGTAAAACAGAAATTGTCTTTCCAGCAGCAGCAGCAGCTGGGAGAGCCTGACCAAGATGCCAAGCCTTGAATGGTGAGTTTAACAGATGTGAAGAAGAGAAGCAAGTATGGACCCAGTTAAAGACACATTTCACCAGATGTGTCAAATTGTTCCCGAGAGGACTCCAGTCTAGGAAATCCTCATATGACTTTCAAAACTTTTCTGTTATGTTTAAAATCAGTTTTAAAAGGTTTGTAATTACTGTAGCAGTTTTTCCTGTTTGTTCTTTAATAAAATGGACCGAGATAACCGTAGAAAGCATGCTTGCTGTACAGAGCATGCAAGTGGAGGAAGTGGGGAAAATGGAGAAGTAGCACTGCAAGAATTCCACCTGGATTTTCCTCTTTAACTGCCAGAGTTAAGGAAAAGTGTTGAAATGAAAAGACCCTAACTATCCAGGCTGCAACTACTACCTTCGATATAAAAGTTTTCATCTGGAATTGCCATTGAGATCTTTCTGTCTTGAGCTGGGCATGTGGCTCACTGGTAAACAAACAATAAGCAAGTCTTCAAAATTTATACGAAACTGGTTGTTATATGAAATCTATGCTATTCACAGCACATGAATAGAAAGTTACCATTTCAAGGTTGACTATTCACAGTCAGATTTAAAAACAGTGAACAAAGCGCTGTTACTCAAAAATGTACTTAGACGTATTTAAAAGCACTTATTATGTCAGAAAATTTGGATACATCAAGGCTATATAATAAGAAAATCTACTTTGACGAGGCAGTTTTTGTACCTTAAACATGATTTTTAAAAAGGAGGGTTGGGGACTCTGTATGCAAAGATTTTGGCTGACTAATAGCAACTAAACACCAGAAATACAAAGTACAAACAGTAATTTCCAAATACAAGATCTAGAAAGGCCAATTCTGTCTATTATGCTGAAAGAGGCCAACCCATCTAACTGCTCTCAGAGAGCAGAAGGTACTCTGAGGACCAGCTGATACAATGAGCAATTCCATTCATTCCATGCTTATCTGTTGTTTGTTTGTTTCTCTGTGTAGCCTTGCCCATCCTGGTGTAAACTAAGCTGGCCTTGAACTTATAGAGATCTGCCTGCTTCCCTCCCAAATGCTGGGATCAAAGGACATGCTGTCACCCCTGCCCAGTGAGAACAGAAAACATTTTTATAGCAAGCAAATTCTTCTAGGTGTTGCAAATAATAAAACATAAGAAAAAAGAATATCAAAACATGAATAGTATGAACATGTTCAAACGCTATACCATACCCAAAAATACATATGTTATGATAATAAAATTAAAGTATGTATTTAAAATAAAAGTATAAATTATAATGATCGTTTTATTAATGGAAATAAGACAAAGTATTTAAGTGTTAATACAGACATGAGCAATGAAAACTTTGAATGCCTAACCCCCCCTCCCCCAGGATCAGCCTTGCTACTTGCTAGGCCACAGAGGAGGACTTTGTAGCCAGTCCTGAAGACACCTGATAAACCAGTATCAGATGAAAGGGGAGGAGGCTCTCCCTTATCAGTGGACTTGGAAAGGGGCAGGGAGGAAGATGAGGGTGGGAGGGTGGGATTGGGAGGGAAAGAGGGAGTGGGATATAGCAGGGATACAAAGTTAACAAACTGTAACTAATATTAAAAAAATTAAAAAAAAAAAAACCTGGCAAAAAACTACAAAAAAAACAAAAAACAAACAAACAAACAAAAAACCCTTTGAATGTGGGGGAAGGACACAATAGTTAGCAGAGAAGCAGTAAGCTCTTCAGTTCTGAGAAGCAGGGTTCAGCTTCCTGACTCCGACACTCAGCTGTGGATCAGAAGACTCCTCTGTCACTAACATTAGCACTAACATTAGCTCAACTCACAAGCAAAGGAATGATCAGAAAACACACAAACAAGATATAAGCCGATGTACACAGCCTGCAAGGTAGTAAAAGAAATACAAAACTGATTTAATATTTGATAAAATCATAAATTTGTTAGAGATTCATTCCCCCAACAGAGGACCTTTCCCTTGAATTCGTGTAAGCATCCATGTATAAAGGAGCAGGGCCCTGTCCTCTAATGGAGCCGGCTGGGCTGCCCCCGACCACACAACAAAGCCTTGACACTAACAGTACTTACACCTGCTGTCGATCATTCACTCCTTGACAAGTCAAGTGCACATCTTTTCAGGGACGACGTCAATCAACATTAACATTAGCACTCAAATACAGCACAGCATGCTGTACCGCTGCTGCTTCAGAAGTGAGGTGAAGAAATGTGTTGGGCCGCGGGGAAAGGCACTCTTTGTAAGAAACTAGATGCAGTGAACAGCAGGGTAGAAATATGCAGAGCTGGGAGGCTAAGATCAGGTAGTTTATATGGATTTCTTCAAGGGAACAAGATTCTCTCTCCATCTATCCTACATGAGAAAATTAGAGCCACATTTCACAGACGGTGACAGGGCTCATTCTCTGATGACCTTCACATCTGTGGACCTGCCCTGCATGCCAGATGACTAGAACCAGGAAAATTAGGTTCATCTTGGGCGAGAGATCCCTAAGAGACATAAGAAGATCTTCAGGGAGTATGGTGGCACATCCTAGAGTCCTGGGGGAAGGAGGCTTTCAGAGCAGCTGGACCGAGGGGTTCAAGACCACCATGGGGACAGCAAGCTACTGCTGGAGAAAAAGACCCTAAAGCAAATGTGTGTTTGCCTATGCTTCTCCACTATGCATTCTCCTGCACTGCTCTCCTCCACCCCCAACTCCGGTGTTTGTATGTGGTTTAATTAATTCCTTCTTCTTTTTTCCCCTCAGCTTCTCACAAAACAGAAAAAACAGTGGGTCTGGAAAGAGACCAGCCTGCACCTAGTACAGCACTGACTAGTTGGACAGTAACTAGTAATTGCACTGTTCTAACCCATTTTGCTTGGTAGTGACATGCTCAATCCCCTCCTCTCACAGCTGCTGGAAGCTCAGACAGTGTTCTCAATACATGAGTAGACCAGAGAGACTGGTACACACAGACCCATCTGATCCTGGTGCCGGACTGGACAGAGCCAAGGCTATTTGCATGTGCCTTCTTGGCCTGGCTGAGAAAGGAAAGACACTGATGTCATCCTTGGAATGGCTCAGGAGAAGTAACCACGGAAACTGGGAACAGAACAGGCTGTGTGCATGGCACTTCATATGGCCGAGGGACCACCCAGCAGGTGATAGCTACATTTGGACTGATAGGACCCTCTTGATGGAGATGCTGTCCCTGTGCCAGCGGGGTGTTTATTAGCTACAGAAAAGGATCATCTATGTTTGGAGCCTACGCAGACCACACACATACACACCTCACTTTAGAGGTGCTACACAAATGTAGAACACCAACAGAGTTTATGAAAACTGTAAGAAAAGCAAAGTTGTCAAAAGCCACCAAAGCTTTCATCACCAGGGCCTTAAAATGAGTGAGGAATGGGCCTTGTTTTATAAGAGACTGCCCCTGACTAAAAACTACATATGGGGTACATCAACCCGGCTTGGATTAGCACTCATTTTAATGCTTCTCCCAAATACAGCATTTTGCAAAATTTTCAAACACCCAAACAGCAATCCCTGTATTCAAAGCTGGATGTTTTCCTGCTGACTCTGTTCACGGTACAACGTTCCCATCCTGGTTGAATCAGAAAGCCCAGTGGCCTTGTTTGTGTTCTACAAGGGAGCGAAGCAAGATTGATGAGGCCTAAGAAGAGCACGCTTCTTCACTGAACAAGGCAGGTTTCTATTTTCAGGAGCTCAATAGAAGACAGAACACAGGACTTGTAGACTACCCTGCTTTCCAGCTGCTTTCCTTGCCTCTTCTTGCCCTTTATTATACGTGTTATTAAACTCCAGGGCCAAGAACTGCCAAAAGCCACAAAGCAAGCATTCCCCTCTGAGATTAGAAGAGGAAAGGAAACATTTTTATTTTCATCTCCAACACTGATTTTGGTACTCAAATTTCATTCTGAATAGTCTGCCTCCATGGGTAGATTAGAAGCTGCTTGCAGAGGCAGCATCACAAGGGAGAGTGCTCATCACCCTGGGCAGCTCACACTAGTAATTAGAAAGAAAAAAGGAAAGCTGTGAATTACAATGAACCAAGCCTGAGTAAGTGTCCAAGTTGGATTAAAGAATTTGGGTTGTCAGTTTGATGTATAATGGATGTGAAAATAAGCCATTTAATGAAATGGTACATGATATAATCACTTTGTTGTGCAGTAGAGCACTTAGTTTAACAGAGTGCCTTTACGTTGGCCACTGCTCACGATTACAGCGCCCCGCGACTCTTCTTAGACATGGGCAGCTCACATTATTCCAGATATCAAATCTGGGACTTGCAAAGTAATGCCAGTTTAGGGGAAATAATTTGTCTATTTATTACTGAGTACAGAAGATAGAAAAACTTTTTCATTGCAAACAGCACAGGATCCTAGAAATAGTCCCCAAAAGATAAAATGAAAACCAAGAACAGAAGACTGCAAAACCATAAGCAGTATTTTGTTCATAGACTGTTTCTCAAATTCAAAATTTTAAACTATTTTAAAACTTTATGTCTATAACTATAAGTGTTCCCTGTAACAGTTTTCTCTTTGATGAAATTAGGAACCCAGGTGCCACGGTCCCTGCGATTACAGAGGATTGACAAGCCAGACGGGCTCTGCTGGGGGCTAGCCCACAAAAAGAGGAAATGATGGGCAGTGAGAAGAACCTGACGGCCGGCTGAGACCAGAAGAAGACATATTTGAAGACACAGGAATAGGCGTGATGGAAAGGGTTAAATAATCAGAATTCTCTAACGCCAAAGCCAATATACTTACTGCTACTGCAATTCTTCCAAGGACGTGCTCTGGAATTTTCCTATATACATCCAAAGACCCCCCTGCAGAGACAAAGATAGTCTGTTACCACAAACAAAGCCACCAAGACAGCACACCTGACTCTGCTTTGTGTATGCCTTGTGAGAATATGGTTTCCATTTTCTTAGGTCATACTGGATATGGAGAGCAAAGTAGGTTTTTAGTTCTATCTTTGTGAATGACATAATTGTACTTCTAGAAGAGCATGGCCAGCTGCTTCTGTTTCGAAATCCACAGTCATTAAAAGCTAAGGAAAGTAGGCGGGGAGGCTAAGCACCTCCAGTCGGTGAGGAGATGGATGCAGACAAAACCGGGAAAATGAAGCCGACGGCCGCACCTGCAGGGCCTGTGTGCCACTGTTCCATGTGGAAACCTGGGCCCTGTCTTAGAATTTTCACACTTAGCAAACAAATGTGGGTAGGTATGAATTTCAAAATACATGCAAAGGCTAATAAAGCAGACACAGCAATGCCACATTTTCTACATGAAGTTAGTTACTTTTGACGTAAGGTAGCATGAAAAACAACTAATCAACTCGTGGCTTCCTGATAACTGAGAAAACCAGTGAAGTAAAAACAAGACAACAAAACATAATCTCTTCAAGTTCTAACTGCTTTATTTTAATTACATTTTACTTAGTTATTGTGTGTATGCATGGGAGGTTTACCCACCTGTGGAGGTCAGAGGTCAGCTTTTGAGAGCTTGTTTTTCCCTCGCACTGGGTGTCCCCAGGGACTGAACTAAGGTTGCTGGGCTTGGTTTGAAGGTGCCTTGGCTTGCAGAGCCATCTCACTGGTTCTCTAACTTATTCTTACTAAACTGTGACTCACTACTATACTGCTTACTTGTCAGCTTTAACTTTTGTTAAATCACCTTCGACATTTTCCAAAACTGAAAAACCGCTACACGTATTTGTTCTGTCCTCCTGTCCATGCTCATCTGAGGTAAATGTTGGCAAGGAAAAAGGCCGGCCCAGCAGAGGCCCTCAGAATCAGGCACCCGCCAAGTGGATGTGCTACTATGTGCCGTCCAGTCATTCCGGGTTTTCTGTCTGCAGGCTTTCTGTTTTGAGACAGGTTCTCACCATGTGGCTCAGGCTGGTCTCGAACTCACTCTACCGATCAGGCTGGCTTCACAACTCAGAGATAGATCTAGCTGCCTCTGCCTTCTGGTGCTGGGATAAAAAGTGAGCCACTATGCTTGGATAGTCATTCTTAGTTAAGCTAAAAATTGGCAGAGGATTTGGGTTTAATTCTTACCCACTTTCACTATCATTTCTATCCTATAGATCTAGCCAAAAAAAAAAAAAAAAAAAAAACCAAAAACCAAACAAACAAAAACAAAAACAAAAACCCAGTAACCCTCGGACTTCTCAAAGCAAAGGAAACGTAATCTGGCTGGCTATGACGCTCTCAAGCAGCGTCCAGGAAAGGACTGCGAATAGCTGCGGCAACAGCCTCGCTGCAGCTACTGCGTTCAGTGCACATTCCCACGGCAGCTGGCTTGAGGCCAGCCCACTGGGGACTATAAACCTAGGACTGCGGGTCCATGGGTGGCATTTATAAGTGCTCTAAGAATCCCACAAATTTAACTTACGTACCCTTCAGGGAACAAACATTTCACTCACTAACAGTATGAGAACTAGGTTAATGCATATACCCCCTTAAGAGTGAAACTGGGGTTTAGTCTTTCACTGATTTGAAGAGGGCACCCCGGATATTTGGGAAGAAACTTCCATTTTTCCTATCAAGGCTACAATGTCATGTTTATGTGACTACTGATGACTTTAAAAATGCCTAATGAGGTCTGCAGATGAAACACGTCATTCTTCTGAAATGCAGTTAAGGGTGTGCCCTGGGCAAATATACTCTTATGGTATGCTATGCTCCTTAAAGCTACTGTCCTGTTAAATGACACACGCATCACGGAGCTACGGCTTCCTATGCGCCCTGATGACAGCAGCTGTAGGGAAATGACCATTCCTTTAGGTAATTTCTGCTCTCAGCTCCCAGACTCTGAGCACAAGTAGACAGAGAATAACTAACTTTGTGCTGTGGCTCTCAATGCTACTGGGAAGACTGTGGGGGAGAAAAACATTTCTGCAATGAGCAGAAATATCCTTATTTACTAAAATATTTTTATTACAATTACAGAGGCAATAAAAGTGAAAACCTGGCAGAAAAATAGTTGTGGTCCCATTGATTTTTCAGGTGAATTGGCAGCTCCATGGATAAGCAAGCTCAAGATGAAAAAGCTTGCCTGTGGTATCCGGAAAACTGACGATAACAGCTTACTAGCCCAAGTCCTTAGAAAGCCAATGACCTCAACACCTGGAGGAACAAGCCCACCCACAGGAACCAGCAAGAAGTTCAAGGAGGGGATTTCCTTCTTTCTTCCTTTAAATTTATTATGTATACAGTGTTCTGTCTGCATGTACACCTGAAAGCAGAAGAGGGCACCAGATCTCATTACAGATGGTTGGGAGCTACCATGTGGTTGCTGGGAACTGAACTCTGGCCCTCTGGAAGAGCGGCCAGCGCTCTTAGCCTCTGAACCACCTCTCCAGCCCAAGGGGATTTATTTCTAGGTAGGCTACCGAGGTGGCTGTAAGTACCTACATGGACAGTGGTTTTACCAAGCTAAACTGAAAGCCAAAGGTGGCCTGACACTATTATTAATAAAATAAGCAAAAAGGAAATGTATCTGGAGGTAGTTCACTGGAGCTTGTATCCCAGTTCTCAGCTGCCCACATGGACAGGTCCTCACATAGCTGGCTCTGTGCCCTCAGAGGCACCCCAACCTTCCACCCCAACAGAAATGAATTCAGAGGTGAAAAAAATCATACTGCAGATCTACTAAGTCAAGAGAGCCTGGCAATTCCAAAGAGCACTCCCTCTCAGCAGGCTAAATGGAAACGGGTTTGGGTTAGTTCTCATTTGGTTTTGGTGACACTTCTGTTTCATATACCTCTCCAAAGGCAACTCTTTGGCTTAGCACACCATAAATATTAGTGCTAGAGGGACCATTAATGATGACTCCACCAACCTTACTTGGCCTTATTTGAAACTGAGTCCCATAAACATAAATGTGCCCACCATACTCAAAAGAGCAGAGTCCAGAGGAGCGGAGCCTCCGAACATCCCCACACCGAATTCCCTCTCCCGCATCATCACACGGCAGTGAAATTCACATGTGAACTTTAGGTCGGTCTTCCCTCTCTGCAATGTGATCGGCACACACTGACAGTTAAATGTTGCCTGAGATTTGCTATTCACGACTGTTTTTTGACTGGCCTGGGAATGGAACCTGGGATCTCAGACTCATGAGGCAAAGGCTCTTTCACTAAGCTCCAGCTCCTGGCCTTAGACTGGACATTTGGAAATGCATGTATCTGTGGCTCCAGCGTTTGAACTTTTAGCTCCTTATTCAAGCTCACAGCCTTCTCTGTGAGTGCCACTTTTTTGTCTTCCGTGGCCACATTCCCTCCTCCCCCACGGCCAATTATTGCCCTGCCTGCCGCCATGCACACAGTAAGCCAGGGGATGGCTGCTGTAGATCAGCAGAAACTGATGCACAGCACTGGAGAGTCGCAGTTCCTGCTGTAGATTAGGCCCGCCATCTTCACCTGAGCAGATCCAAAGGTCTCTGTTGCCATATTTCAAGATCTTAACTATGGGTAGTCTCTGCACATAGGATGACTGTAAATATGAAGTGAGGAGTGAGAAGCAGCAATACCATCGTGATAATCTTCACATTTGCCTTAAGTGACCACAGTCATCATTAATGTGAACAACACGAGCAAAACACTTGAATGCAAGGTCCATTTAAGTTTCTGCTAGTTGAAAATATAGAAGTCCTTTCCTTTTCTGCAATGTAGGCCTTTTTGGGGGAAACAATTTATTCCCGTGGTGATAACCGAAACATGTCTGTACTCTGTGATCTTCCACCTGGATGTTTCTGTATAGATTTTGTTTCGACCGAATATGAGAGTTGACCACAGTCTTTCCCTAAAACACTTCCCAATGCCTTCCTAAGAAATTCAGTCTCAGGCCTAAACTCCTTGCTAGAGGTTCCGAGGTGCACATCTCTTGCTTGGTCTATGCCCTGATCACACATGCCTCCTGGGCAGCCTCTGGTCCTTTCAACATCATTCTCCAGTCACCATAGTGGTCTTGGGTCCAACTGGGAGCACGAACACCTGCTCTTCTCTCTGCCTCTAAGATTATCCCAGTGGTCCTCCTTGACTGCTCACCAAGGTCTCTGCTCACTGCCACTCTGTCTCCGGTGCCCTGCACCTGCTTTATTAGCCCACCTATCCTGCTCTGTGCTCTCACTGGTGTATCCCTCCCTGAGAATGTCCCATATGTCTGCAGAATATACCCCATGAGGACAAGAGTACTCCATAACATTTGCCCTGTGAGGACAAGGGTTACTCCAGAACACATGCCCCTGGAGGAGAAAGGTTACTCTGGAGCATGTGCTTGGTGAGGACATGGATTATTCTAGAACATGTACCCTGTAAGCAAAGGGTTACTCTAGAGCATGTATCCTGCTAGGACAAGGGTACTCTAGAACATTTACCCCTGGAGGAGATGGGTTACTCTAGAATACATATTCCTTGGGGAAAAGGGCTAAGTGTTGGCCACTGTGGTGTCCTCAGCTTTAAAGCAGTATCTGAAAAAAAAAAAAAGTGTTCAGGAAATACTGCAAATTGATCACAGTGTGAGTTAAAAATAAACCAATCAGAGAGGAATTGTGAAGAAACTGGACTACACAGGAGGGAGGAGACGGGAGCTGGAGGGCAATACAGAGAACCTGTATGTGTTTCGATATTGTGTGTTTTGTTGTCTATGAGCAGAGACTGTGCACTGAGCTGCAAGTCACCATGTCTGTGTGACTAAGAAAACCACGTTTAAAGACCTAAAGATCACTCCCCTAAAACAGGCTATTAATACACCTAGAAATTACATGGAAGACACAGGAACTTCTGAGGTTAAAGGTACAGTAGCTGAAAGACACAGGACCAACAGCAGAAGAAGGCAGAAGAAAGATGCAATCACGGGCAAGTGCCTCTCTTTGCTGAGCCATGTTGGTCACTTGTGAGTCATGCTGTACTGTGGGCCTGTGCTAGTCAGTTGTCTTGGGCTTCTGTAGTAGTACAAGACTTGCTAGGCCCTGTGGTAACTGTTTAATTCGTGAAGAAGTGTCAAGCTGTTCTAGTCTAATTACACCACTTCAGATTCACACCAACATTGTCTGAGGATTCCAATTTCTCCGTGCCTTTGCCGACACTTACCATTATGTGGTTGATTTTTGTGTGTGTCTGTGTGTACTTGGTTCTGATTTAGGTTTTCCTAACAATCACTGTTGTTGAATGTCTTTTCATGTGGCTGTTGACCATTGTACATCTTCCTTTGAGAAATACATACCCAAATCTATTATTTGTTTCTAAAATGAGTGACTTGTTTTTATTGTTGAGTTATAATATTTCTTTAGTAATTACAGAAACTGCAAATGATTTGCAATTACTGACAGAGTAGACAGGCTAGAACAGCTCGACAATTTTCAAAAATTAAGAGTTGCCACAGAATATGGCAACTTCACTGCCATTAAGCCAATGAGCTGCATTTGACCCCTGGAACCCACAAGGTGGGAGAAGAGGGTGAGCTCCCATAAGCTGTCCTTTGACCTCCACAGGCAGTAGCACAGATGCGTACCTGCGTGGGCTTGCATTCACACACACAGACACACAATAAAAATAAATATATTTTTAGATGTAAAACCAAGAAATGGAAATATCCCAAGTGACCATCAACTAAAACAAAACAAGCAAATGCTGTATAACACTATACCGTGATGAAAGGGGATGACAGCCTACTACTGCTGCAGTCATGGATGAACTTGGACATAGCACACTAAGCAAGAGACACCAGGCACAAAGTGTAGAGCATAGGACTCCACCGACATGCAGTGTGCAGTAGCCAAATGGGCTCATCCACAGGCCAGGAGGAGACCCGTGACTGCTGGGGATAGAGGGAGGGGAAGGAGATAAGTAGCTTAAGTTAGCTGGGAGTTTCTCTTTAGATGGTTTTGAAATCAAACGGCAACTGTGTTTCAAAAAGGTGAATGTTATAGTTTCTGAGTTCTGCCTTAATAAAAAGTATCTGAATGTAACTGAAAAACTATGCAGATCTCAAATAATGAAAGTTCAAGAATGACCTGTACTTGGATTTCAAATCCATGCTTTCTAATCGGTATCCTGCACCACCTGTGTGGTTATATAATTCGGCATCATCCCAAGGGTACTCAAAAGGTATGTGGTGTGTTTGTGAATACACCTGTGTGTGTTTGTGGTGTGTGTGTATGTGTGTGTACTTGTGTGTATTTGTGGTACGCATGTATGTGTGGGGCATGTGTGCGTGTGTGGTGTATGTATGTGTGGTGTGTGTGGAGTGTGTGTGTGGTGTGTATGTTTATGTATGCAGTGTGTACATCCGTGCATGTGTGGTGTATGTGCATGCAGGTGTATGTATGGTGTCTAAACCTGAAAGAGCAAAAAGCGCATGCATTTATGTGTGTGTGGCAGATGCATGGTGTGTGTATGGATGTGCAGTGTGTGTATGTGTGGTAAATGTGGTGTGTATATGTGGTAGGTATGTATGTAGTGTGTATACGTGTGCTATGTGGGATATTTGTGGTCTGAATGGTATATGTGTAATTTGTGTATTTAAGTGTAGTGTGTGTGTGTGTGTGGTGTGTGTGTGTGTATGAATATGTATGGCGGTATATTTGTGGTATGTGTATGGTATGTATGTGTGTGTGTTTATGTCTGGTATGTTTGCATGTACCTAAAAATGCAGAAAGGCACATATGCTGCATTTAATGGAGGCTAGATACTGAAAACTGACCTTGTAAAAGGTGAAAATTTGTCCAGAGTTAAAATGAATAGCCAAGAGTAATGGCAACATTCCAGTGACAGGATTCTAGAAGTCTGTGTCCTGTCACAGTGTTCAGATCAAGGAAGAGTGACTGGCAGTGATGACTGGGATGCAGGGGAGGAGAGGACTCGACTCCAAACTCATCTCGGCTAAACAGCTGTGTTGAAAACAATTTCTTGTCTAGCAATTAAGAACCTATTTCTTTCTGAAAGACACAGGACGTTGGGTTAATAGATTTCCTTAGAAGAAAGTCTGTCTTGGCGATGAAACATTAAAAGAACAGAACATCTGTCTCTAGCAAAGGCAGACTGCACAGAGGCAGCAGGCACCATGCGCCGAGTGGACCCGCGGGCCGTTGTCCTGTTTAAATTTTTAGCAAAAGGAAATCAACTAGCATTCTTGAAATTACAACCCAGCTACAAATATTTAATACCAGGAGCCTTAATGGCAAGAGAATTGCTAGGGTAAAAAAGGCAATAATTGACACATATCAATCATCCTAAGTTCTACCTGAATCTATATTAAAACTAAGTTTAAGGCAATTGATTTCAAGAATCATCTTTACTGTAGTTTAAAGGGAAGAACTCACCGTCCATGAATTCTGTACAAATTGAAATCCTGTTTTCTACAAAAAATGCCCCGTAAAATCCTATGATATATGATGAGTCACACTGTAACAAAAATGAGACAAAAGTAGTTTAACATCTGGAAGCTAATACCACATGCACGTTTATATATTAAAGTGACCAGGAAAAGCATTACCTTATAAAGAATCTCCAGCTCAGACATGATCTGCTTCTGAAGCTCCAGCGTAATGTCTAACAGAATAACCTGAAGTCAAACACACAGCAGGGTAAACATGTTTGTCTACCTTCAAGTTTCACAGCATGTGAAATACAAGAGCTAGAGAAATATTCAGTGCCCCACAGACCCCTGCACCAAAAAAACTGTCTCAGGACCTAAGCCTTTGCCCTGGAGGAGGCGGTACAAAAGTGATTGATGGGATCCTGGAAGAAGCCAGGTCTCCGAGGTCAGCATTAATGGCTTTAAAAGTCAGTTAAGTTATAACACTCAATTTATGTGCCCTATTTTAGCCACACTGGCTATTTTCAGAAGATCATTAAAAGCAAAGAGCCCTGTGAGCCAGACACTCTAAGATAAGCAGAGGGGATGGTAAATAAAATAACATTTTTAAATGGGATTTTTAGAAATAAAAGAAACAGGGGTTTAAAAACCCTGTCACCCTACTTCCTCCCATGTGGGTAATGTTTCTTTACAAATGCTGACAGACTTGAGGCCGAGAAGGTGCTAAAGCCACCTGACTCTCCAGGCTTGCCAGGACCTCCTGGTGTGCTGTGTTTTGTTTGTTTTTATTGTTTGTTTTTGTTTTTGTTTTGTTTTGTTTTCCTTAAGTATCTGCTACTGAGGTGGATTTTATAACACAGAAATGTCCAAGTGTATGTACATAATGTCCCTGCCTAGGACATGCTCTAGTTTAATTCAAAGACTTTTCTCTTTCCTTAGGCAGGTGTGTGCTCTGGGGATGGAACATAAGCCTTCTCACAAATGCTGGTCAAGTAGGCTACTGAAGAGTCACAACCCCAGCTCAATCACCAAGCACTTTAGTGAAAACATTTTAAAAATGTTGCTTCTTAAAAAATTATTCTTAAAGGCAGAATTTTTAAGAATTGTGGCAGAATTTGATTCAAAACATTTCTATGTAAAAACTTTTAACCTTCACGATTTCTGTAACAGTGCCATTTTACACCTAACAGCACTGAAATACACTTTGAATCACAAACGAAGAATACACTAAATAAAGTTAGGAATTATGTAAGCCGCAAGTAAAGAGAATGACTATTCTAATCTGTATGTTCTTGAAGCTGGTACCCAGTTAACTAGAAGAAAGGATGGTGGGAGGCACTGCACTGAGCTAGCCAACCCTTGGGAATTAACTCCAGCCTACTGAGACCTCACCTGAGTTCCATCACCTGAGGAAGCTGCAGCTCCAAGCCACCAGCTCACCCCTATGCTCACTCCTCCTACACAGTCCCTCCTGCCCCACCCATGACACCTTAAGAGTGTTTCCTCTCTCCACTCCACAGTCACTGATTACAAAAGCTGGTTTGACCTTTCAGACCCAGCTTGAACGCCTAGCCACCTCCAGACACCCACCTCAAAACCCTTCATGAGAATTCTTGTCTGGCCTGACCCTTATTCATCTTTACCACAACTGGCTTTAATGCCCCAGGAGACTCCTAAAAACTATGGATGAGCAGTGTTCCAAGCTTCAAGGGCAAGGTGGGCTCCACGTGGACGTTATTCCTTGGCACCCAGCACAAGGCCGCACTACAGCACCCAGTCACTGGGATGGACCTTAATTAAAGGGCTCCTGACAGACAGACCTCCAGATGTGCTGTTATTAGACACGAGGGAAATGGATCATGTGATGTCTGCCACTAAACCAAAAACACAAACACCAAAACAAACTGAAGTGCCACTTTGACCAAGACTGGATTGTGACTGCTGAATTTGTGAAGCTAATCCACTGGTCTCTAATCGGTTGGATCTCTCTTGAGACGTGCTGTAATCCAGAGAATGGAGAATCCATAACCCCAGAAGAGCAAATCGGGTCATTTCTGCTAATCTAAGAGGGGAAGGCCAAGCCATAGCACCATAGCATGCGCATGCGCTGTTTTTCGGTTGGTGAACGGTTAACTCCCTTCCCCTGGGCATTATTGCCAGTGAGCTTCAAAACTGCTAAAAATAAACCAGACCAATCCTTCCTCTGAAGGCAAGAGAGAAAATCACAGTGAATATGGATTTTTCCCTTTGAAGTCTGAGGACAGTGTGGACTGCCTAAGTCTTCGATGCTCAGGCTGAGGCAGTGCTTCTGACTAAAGCGGAAGAGTTGGAAGCGGCTCCCAGAGGAAGGGTTTAGGTGGCAATGGAGTGCCTGCCTGCCTTCCTGCCTTCCTGCCTGCCCGCCTGCCTTCCCACTGCTCTCCTCCACCTCCAGGACACACAGGATGCGCTGTCAAGTTAAATACAAGCAGTCAAGTGACTGAATTATAATTTACTCTGTGCTCAATTTAAATTAGTGTGAGACTATTAAAATATACAGTATAAATACGGTAATTCATCACGAGCTGTCATGGATGACTTCATTTATTTGCTGGAGTGGCATGCGCTCCACTAAAGGCAAGGAGAACAAAATCACAGGTCAAATTAAGCCGCTATTCTGTTTTAATTCACTTATTTAATCTGTGGCAACATAATTGTCTTTTACAGTATGTACAACTCAGAAAGGAAATTTGGGAGGATTACAGCCAGGGTACAAATGATTAATCAAATGGTCCATTTAAATGCTGCTTTAAAAGCTGGAGAAATCCAAAGCACTCCGGAATGATAATCAACGCATGCTACACACACAGCTGAGAAATCCCGTTAGATGGATTCTTTTCCCAATCAGAAAACAAACAATCCTGGGAATCTGGTTAATTCCCCAAGCGTTCCTACTGTTAAGATTTCACAGGCGGCATTAATGGTAGAGAAAGGGCTAACAGTATCTGTGTTTGTTCTCTGCTCTACTTATCTGCAATGGTCTTGCAACACCAAACAAATGCAAGCTGGTTGGATGCATTTCAGCAAGTATGCCAGTGATCATCAGACAGATATTTCTAATGCGTGCTCAGCATAATTTTCTAAATGGGCTTAGTGAAGCAGAAAAATTTCTAAATTGCATGGAATAGAGAATTTTTTTAATTTTTCCTAAAATTTATCTTCCTTTTACAAATACCTGCAAAATTCTCTTGTCACATTTCAAGTCTGAGGAAGGAAATCCTGCAATGTGCTGACTATCTTTAAAAAGTAGGACTCAGTTAGGAATGCATAGAAATTGGAAATGCTATGAGGGGCTCTCATCTACCTGGTCACACAGACATTCAAAGTGTGGTCCAAATGACCACTCACGGGAAATGAAATCCCCCCCAGTTCTGTGCAGGCAGCAGAACCCTGCAGGTGAATCTATTCAGACAGGGCTGTGATTTGCTGCTCTGCATAGTCTCTCTGTGACACCAGGAAACTGGGGTCATTGAGAGGTTCGAGTGACATGGTTCAAGTCACACAAAAGTCAGGAGAGGGTCAGAAAAAGATCAAATGTGCCTCTAACTCTTAACCTTCCATTTCACCCTTTAGTATAACAAAGGAAGCTAAGAAATATTCTGGGGGCAAGTAAGGGTCCATACAAAGAGCACTGAGGGAGATTTTGTATGTTGTAAACCTGTTTTCAGAATGTTACTTCAAAAGATCAGTGAATGAATTAAACAACAAAACTGTACTCAATCAGTAAATTATGTGTTAAGACACTCACTGTGTGTGCTAGGCCCCATAGGTAAGGCAAGAAAATGGTCAGTTCTGTTCTCCACTTTCAAAGAGATTTTAATATGTCAGAGAAAATGGACATGATACTGATGGCCATGTGTAAGATGGCATCTGCTCACCTTTAGGAGATCCTAATATTGTTGAAGACATGCTTGAAGGCATTCTAATTAGAGAGGCGCACATGAATTAACTTGTTGAAATGAGAAAAAAACAAAACAAAAACCAACCCAGGTTCAGATGAGGTGACAAACTCAAATAAAACAGAACAAAACGCACAGAGACTAGGAAATGTAAGATCATGCTAGAAAAGCAGCAGTAGACTGCGGAAGCACTGTTGGCCCCAACTTCCTGAGTGTTCAATGTGTCTGGGTACGTTATGGTCGCTAGTGATTGCTAATCTAATGGGTCCAGAATCACTTAGGAGATAAACTTTTGTGTGTGTCTGTAAGGGTAGACTCGGTTCCCTGAGATGGGAAGACTCACCCTAAATGAGGGCTCCACAGGCTGGGGTCCTGGACCAAGCAAAAGTAACAAAAGAAGTAGAGTCCCAGTTTTCAGCTCTCTCCTTCCCCCAGATGCAGAGTGGTCCGCTGCCTCACTCCTGCTGCCACGATGGCTAGCCCCTCCAAACTGTGGAGTAAAATAAGTTCTCCCTACCTTTAATTGTTTTGTCAGGAGTTTTGGCTCAGCAGTGAGAAAGGTAACCAATATAGAAGGAAAAATGAGTCTTTTGAGAGGGGAACTATGTTTTGGGGAACTGAATCTAGGGCGGGGGGAGATCAGCAAAAGCAGGGAGTTACATCCCGGCCTCTGGGCTTTCTAGGTGTAGGACCATGGGCAAGCTGTTGAGCTGCATTGTTTCAGGTTCTGCACCTGCTGGATGAGAAGCAGGAATGGTGGCAAAAGTCTAGATTGAAGATAATATATGCAAAATATTTAGCAGCATGAATCACCAATAAGTTGCAACTTCTATTTACTGAGAGAACTATTCAGAAGCTGGCCAACAGTCTCACAATAAGCAAAAGCAGGCATCTGGATTACACTGGTGACAAGAAAGGAAAGGAAACAAAGCCTGGCAAACAAAATAAGCCAGTTTGCTGAGCCTCATGGTGCATGCCTTTAATGCCAGCACTAGTGAGGCAGAGACAGGCAGATCCCTGTGAATCTGAAGCCAGTCTGCATAGGAAGTTACAGACTAGCCAGGGATACATGATGACACCCTGTCTTAATAAACAACAACAACAAACAAAGCCCACAAGATACATACACACACACCAATAGCATAACAGCTCAAGTTGGTAATAAAAAGCATGCATATTTCACTGATTAAAGAGAGTCTTCCGGTCCCTGGACAGGGAAGGAAAGCAGGTGGAACTTACAGTCCCCTTAAGCTGAGAAGACAAGAGCCTGGGGCAGAAGAGGCCAAGACTGCCAGGGTCGGCTGGCAGAGCACCAAGCAGACAGCAGAGTGATGAGTGCGACCTGGAAGCAGGAAGTAACCCAGGCCAGAAGGAACCCTCACTCTGTGGCCTGTGCTTCCTCCACCAGGGTGGAATCAGGAGTCCTGCTTCAGCAGAATGGGGAAATTTGGGCTGATGGTTTGATTGGCCCTTTCTTTAAGCAAAGTTCAAAAGTAAGTCTTTAAAAAAATCAGATTGTTTTCAAGTCAGCAATACCTCAGAACAAACGTTAAGAATATTTATAGGAATGCAAAAATATCTAGCGACCTATGCTACAATATCCCATAAAAAAGAAAAACAACCTGGAGTGAGAAGAAAAGGAATCCACTGGAAGTAATCCAGAAATGAGGTGCATGACAGCTATAGGTCCATCAACTGGTTGGCTTGTCTGTCCTAGCTGGAGTTACTATGTTCTGACAAAATACCTTGACCAAAAGCAAACTGGAGAAGAAAGGGCTTCTTTGGCTTATGCCTCCACATCACCAGAGGAAAAAGGAACAGGAACTCAAGCAGATGAGGAACTTGGAGGCAGAACCTGATGTACATGCCATGGGAGCTGCTTACTGGCTTGCTCCATGTGGCTTGCTCAGCCTTCTTTCTTATAGGACTCAGGACCGTGAGCCCAGAGATCGCTCTACCTACAATGGGCTGGGCCTTCCCCCTTCAATCACTAACTAAGAAAACGCAATGCAGTCTTCCTACAGCCTTGAGAGTCCTGCTTTCAGATGACTTCTGCTTGTGTCATAAAACCATCCAGCACAGTTGCCATAATTATCCCATATACTCTAGAAGGTAGAAAAAAGGCTGGGCACATCAAATACCAACATGGAGAACATTCTTAAAGCAAAAAAGCCTACCTACACTTTCAGGGATAAAAAGAACACTGGAAACCACAGGGATAAAAACCACATTGGACAGGAGGAATAGCACATAAGACAATGAAGAGGAAGAGATCAGTGACAATTCAGGAACAGAAACTATTTCAAACTGAAAGAGGGGAAAGACAAGTGAAGTAAAGCCAACAGGCAGGCCAGGCGTATTCCCACAGAGGGAACATGATCCGAGGAAAGGGTAAAGTGCTTCAAGTTTGGTGAAAGCTAAGACCCCACATATTCAGGAATTTCAACAAACCTCAGCATAGTGAATATAAAAGAGCATCACAGCCAAGCCCAGCATAGCCATATACTGTAAACTGTAGCCATCACTTGTAACAAGAACTCTGAGATGGCCGACAGAGCAGCAATGAGCACCAAGGACAGCAAAGCCAACGCTGAAACCAGATCTTTAAAATTCTAAACAAAAACCAGACAATCTAGATCCCTGCAGCCAGTGATGATCATGGACTAACCTTAGGAAACTGTAAGCAAGCCCCCCACTTAAATACTTCCTTTGATAAGAGTTGCCTGGGTATGGTGTCTCTTAGAACACTGACTAGCACAGCTCCCACTGTAAGGATCTTACCCGAAACTAAAGATGGATGCTACAAACTCTACACAACCACTAAAAACAGTGGAGGGAGAGCAGGTAAACAATCAGGAAAAATGGAAAACAATGCACAGAATAAGAGCTATCAATCCAATCATAGCATAGCAAATGTAAATGGCTCCAACACCATCATTAAAAAATAGAGATCATCAGACTAGATTATAAGTAAGACCCAACTACATACTGTCTATGAGAAACTCATTTCTAATACAGTAACATACTAGGCTCAAAGTAAAAGGCTAACACTAGTAAAAAGCTCGCTGTTGTAGCTAGATTAATATCAACCATATGGATTTCATAACACAGACTGCAATGAACAAAACAGTCATTGCATAAAGATAAAGAGACCAAATCATCCAAATAATAAGAACCCTACTGAAACTAATAGCACATCCTCAACAATGATGACAGAGAGTGACAGAAATGTAAGAAAAATGAACCAGACCAAGGGCCGTCTGCTAGAGAGTTTAACACTCTTGTTTTGGTAACTGATAAAAAAATATAAAATCAAATCAGTTCAGATATGAAGATATGAAAACTAAGAGCCAATCTGATTGAACAAAGATTTACACAACACTTTTCATATTCTTTGGATTATACATTCTTTGTATGTGCACAGGGAAGTTTCACCAACAAAGACCATATCTGAACCAAATTAATTTAAAATAATTCCAATTACACAATATGTTCTTAGACCACACTGGAATTAAACTGAAGTCTGTAAATGAAAAATACTTGGAAATTTTCCAAATATTTGGGAGCTAAATAATAATTTGGGAGCTAAGAGTCAACACATCATTCTGTCTGTTCTGAAGAAACGGTACATTTTCTCCAGTCATAACCATTGTATTATCTACATGATTTTTGCTTTGTTTATCAAGATCAAGTCTATACACAAAAATCAATCACCATTTGCCTCAGTCTGCAGACAAGATACAGTTCCTGTTAGCAGCCCAGTTCAAAGGTTCAGCCTGAAGAATGGCTTATTTGCAAACTCCAGCTGTTCTCATACAGGGAAAATCTAGACAGCTATTTTGTAACACATATCCTTAAAAAAGTAACCTTCAATTTGTTCCAGAAACAGTTGCTGGTCCGTTGCCACACCTAGTTAAATAGCTGTGCTCATGAATCTTAATATTATTCTATGCTAAGTATAACTAATTATGGTAGAGTTATGACATTTTATATTGTATTTACAAGGCCAAAGGTTCTGGATCAGTTGTAGTGACACTCTCTCTCGGCATAACTAAACCAAGACATGACTGTTTTTAACTCTGTTCTGACATGAAAAGAACAAATAACTGAACAGACAGGAACACACTGCTCAGTTAGCAGGGGAGAGCTCAGGGGAGAAACGGAAGATGGTTCAAGGTGGGCTGAAAGGGGGGGGAAGACCCTGAGCTGTATCCAGTTAGTACTGACTCTAGGAACTCTCCTGACCGTTTCCCCTGTGTAATATGTGAGGGCAACTAGGACCTCAATGGTGTCTCCCAAGCTGTGCCTGTGTGGATGGAATCTGTTTGGAGTTTCAAAGAAGGTGTCTCGGGAGCGCGCTGCTGGAGCCCTCCCAGGGCTGCTGGCAAGCGCAGACCTCACTGTGCCACTACGACGCAAGTGCTGTGCGGGGTGAGGCAGGAAGGCCACCTTGGAACGCACTACAGTCCAGAAGACCTGAGCCTCAGTTTTAGTTTACCTCTAATAAGGGAGAAGTAACCATCACGCCAAATTCTTAATTTCCTTAAGCTATAAGACACTGAAATACAAACTGAAATGTTAGGGAAAGAAACCAATGTCTCACTGCGTACGCCATTAAAAAAGGCATCTTGGAGATGAACTTTGAGAGGCCGGGTGGACCACAGAGGGCTGAACAGCAGTCATTTGTACAAAAGCTGCACAGCATCTAGAGGATGTTACCTTTATAGATCAGGTGCACATCTTTTCAAATCTTAACCCTGCCTCTCCCAAATGACCTTGGCCAAGTCAGCCCCACAAGTACCACTTTCTTCAAATCTAAAAATGGGTAAGCATTACCTCATAGTTTTAAGGATTAAAGATAAATCTTTAAAACACGTAGCGCGAGAGCTGGCACACAGCAGCTTTTCAAAAACTAAAGCCTTCCATTGCTAAAGGCCCAGAGCCAGAGACGGGGCATGGCAAGCACTCAGTAGCTTACAGGCGGAAGCAGAGGGCGTATCTGTAAAGGCAGGTCACAGTCAGACTGCAAGAGCACCTGGCCGTGTGCCAACAAACACCCTACTGTTGTGTGGTTGTGTGCCCATGGCTTAAGCTGAGAGGGGAAAGGAGATCAGCGAGCACCAACACTTTCACGACACAAAGCTGAGGAGACGGCTCCGAAGGTAAGAGCACTTACTGCACAAATCCCCAACACCCTGAAAAATAACACATGTGGTCGCATGCTTCTATCCAACACGTGGGAGGAAGGACGAGGGTCAGCCCAGCTCCAGACTCAGTAAGACCATCTCAAGGGAATAAAGCAGAGAGCGATAGAACAGGGCACCCAGGATCTTCCTCTGAATTCCATGAGTACATATGCCACGTGAACCACATTCACATTCGCACACAGACTCATACACACAAATTTTCATGGAATATACCCACTTCTTACCTTTACAGCTAAAATTTTCCCACTTGGGACATGATATGCTCTATAGGAAGAAAAAGAAAAGAAAGTTACTTGATGTCACTAGGTAGCCTACAGAGTGGCTAGGGACACATTGTCAACCAAACCTAATAGCGTAACCTAAATTAGGAAATATCAACAAGATTGGGGTTGTAGCTTACTGGTAAAGTACTGACTTGCCCAGCATATGCAAAGCACAGGGTTATTAGATCCCCAGCACAAGAAAAAAAAAAAAAAGATAGAAGAAAGGAAGAACAAGCAAGCATTCATTCATATAGAGAAAGTCAGAGATTAAGGTTTGCAGAAATAAAATCATTTTCTTTGAAGACCTAATGCATATAAATAAAATGGGACTTTTTACATACATGCTGAGTCAACTTCACATTCTGACCATTATTGTAGGCACAAAACTGTTTTATATGAAAAATTTAAAACAAACTACAAAACACAAGCACACATTGTAATTGCAGACCCATAAAATCACCAAGAAATAAACTGTGAGGAAATACATCTGCTCCTTGGAAGATTTTACATATTCCCATCACATGGCTAGTGGCAGCAACAATGAATACCCTCAGGAATTTTATTCTCCTTGGTGCCTAGTCTCAAAGCACATTTACCAGGTCTCCAAACCGCTAGTTCCTAGAACAAAACAAAGTTTCTATTGTTTGAGCAAAAATATTTTTGTTTGGTTGATGGACCAAGTTTTTTTTTTTTTTTAAACAGCTTTATTTAGTTATAATTTATATGTTAAAATTTTCTTGTTTAAAGGGTATAATTCAAATACTTTTAGTAAATGTTTAGGATTGAGCAATCACAGACAAATGTGTGTACATATGTGTACTCGAGATAAGGTCTCACTACGTAGCCCTGGTGGGCCTGGAACCCAGGATGTAGACCAGGCTGGTCTCACACACAGCTGCTTCTGTCTCCTGAGTGCTGGGGTTAAAGCTGTACACCATAACACTAGTACCAACAAATGTTCTGATAGCAAATGTCTTATAGAAATGGTTTAGTTATGAGCCTACACACACGCATCTCCTGAAAGAATTCATCCTGGTTTTCCTACTGGAGTGGACAAAGGTCAAGCCAACCATGGATGGCCAGTCAGCTCTTGGTATGTTAATTAGTTATGCAGGGCTTCAGGAACAGTACCTTTAAAATAAAGGTAAAATTATAAAAATTAGGTGGTAAATTTTAAATTTACCAAATAATTATTTTACTTGTAAAACTGTCTAAAAAAATTTGAGGACTTGAGAGACAGCTTGTTGCTCTTGCAAAAACAAAACAAAACAAAAACCAGAGTTTGGTTTCCAGCACCCACATCTGGCAGCCCCAAATCATCTAGTTGCAGGAGACCTGATTCCTTCTTCTGGTCTGCAAGGTGCACCACATGCATACACGCTCTCGCTCTCTCTCTCTCTCTCTCTCTCTCTCTCTCTCTCCCCCTCCCTCCCTCTCTCTTTGCATCTCTCTCTTAAAAATAAATAAAAACTTTCAGGCTTTGTAGAAAAGAATACAACATTTTACAAATGGAGCCCATTTATTATACTGGTTTTTGGAAGAAATTATCATTTACTATCTCTGTAAATATCAGGCTTTTATAATGCAAAGCTGCATTCCAGGTCATAATCTGATTTTTGATATATTCAAACCTATACAGCACATTGGTATAGAAAGATTTATACTAATTACCCCCTTGGCTGAAGAAGTTGTTGGACTCTGCTCCTTTAAAATCTATGTGAAGAATTTAGATGCTCTTCCCATGTAAATATAAATAATTCAATGAGTAGGATTAAATAATAATACCATTTCTACTGATACAGCACAGATGTTTCCAACTTCAACTTTTTAAAACACTGAGGATTAGAACACTAGCCAAAGACTCAAGTATGAAGATGAATGACTGGAAGCTGCAGGAAGGGCAGGGCTGTAGTCTGAACAAGGAGCAATGCAGGACTGGTGAGCCCAGCTGTGGCGATGAAACACGACTAGCTGAGAGCCCAACATACATATACCTCACTGGGCAGTTTGGCAACTTAATTAGCTTGTCAGGAAAGCTGATCTCTCCCATTTCCAAGTGAATTAAAAGGGAGACTTGATGATTTAATTCTGACACATGTTAACTTGCCCATGCATGTTTGGGCTCCATTTCGAGCAATAGAGAAGCCTCGTGGCTTGGTTTACCTTCTGGTGACAGGGCCGATGTCACATTTAATCATTAGGGAGAAATGGATAACAAAGGCGATGCCAGGCATGAGGCAAGCCAACTCCCTCAACTCTGTGAACGGCATCCTACCTTGAGAAAGGGTTTGTTTACTTTCGGAGGATAGTGCATCTCAACTGTCTTGACCTTCCTCAGCACATTAACTGTAAAGTGATTAATGAAGTCTGAATGGAGGCTCTGCTTACACCAAAAGACAACTATATACCTCTGCAATGTTTTAATTAACAGCTAACGCTTCAAATTAGTTTGTTGTTGCCACAGTAATTACCTGTTCCAAAGAGCGAAGGGAGGGAGCGTTTGTCTGAGGGGTCTCTTAGCCTCCTCCCTGAGTGCTCCACTTTGCCTTTGGGGACTAGTCCCCTGTAACACAATACAGACACCTGGGGAGGGCAGAAGATAGAACAGCCTGGTGTACATGTTTGAGTAGGAGAAGCCTGTGAGGGATTTTTTTCTTAATTAGCTCATTTGAAGTGGGAACACCCACTTTTAATCTGGATCTTTTGAGGGAGGACACTCACCTTTAGTCTGGGCCACCTAAATTGTGCTGGCAACCTATATAAAGAGCGTACAAGAAGGATGCTGTTCTCCTTGTCTGCTTGCTCTCACTCTCACTAGCAAGTTCATTCCTTCACTGGCCCTAGAGCCTACTACTTCAGGATTCCAGCAAATACTGAAGATAGCTGACATGCAATCTCTGGACTGAACAACTACTGGATTCTTGGACTTTCCACTGGTAGATAATCATTGTTGGAGTAGCTGGATCATATCCTGTAAGCCATTCTAATAAATCCCCCCCCCCCACACACACCTACAACTATGTAAAAATCCCATACACATAATACGGGAAATATATTGAATATGACTATAAATTCATATATATTCATATATAGTCATTCTATCAGTTTTGTTGCTCTAGAGAACACTAATAACCTGGTTTTTCTTGGTTTGCTTGTTTTGTGGTACTAGTGAATCAAGCCCAAGTCCCCAAGCATGGCTAAGGCAAGCACTTCCGCACTGAGCAACATTTTCAGCCCTTCGATTTTCTGTCTTCCTCAGGAACAATCCAGGTACGGGAACAATGATGTGCCTGTCAACACTGAATGTCAGAGCAGACATTCCTGAACTAGAAAACTGTCCAGGCCAATCGCTTCAGCAGAACCTGGTAAAGGCCAGGCTTAGTAAGGGCCAAGCTCAGGAAAACCCAGGACTGTACGGACACAGTCTGTAAACACGGATGCAGAGGCTAGGACTGAGCGTGTAAAGTGCTTCATGTTGTTCTGTGTTGACCTTGTCTATCTCACCCATGAAGGCTATAAGCACAAACACCACTTGACAGTATTTGACAGTAACTTTTGCTAGGTGAGAACGAGTGTCCCAGTCTCCTTGAGTTAAGAGGAAAACATATGCTACCCTTGGGAGCAACCACATAGCTTCCTTTAATACATGATCTTAGAGCCGGGCACGCTGCTGTACACCTGGAATTCTAGCATTCAGGAAGCCAACAGAACATGAGTTTAAGGCCATCTTAGACTACACAGTAGTTTCAAAAAAGTATACTTGTATGTATATGTATATCTGTGTGAGTTTATATGGATGTGCATATCTGCATATATACGCATGTGCAAATATATGCATATATGTATACATACACATCCTTAGCAACTGTAACATTCAGAAGTGTTCTGTTCGTCAGATTTCAGCTGCTCCACAACAGTCCCACCACGCAGATGTCTCTTCACTGTGATCTACTCCTCGCTTTGTAGACCAGGCTGGCCTTGAACTCACAGTGATCCGCCTCCCTTTGCCTCCCTGAGTACTGGGTAACAGGCGTGCTCCCGGCTCATCACCTTTCATGGGAAGATTCTAAACACTGAATCCAAAGTCCTTATGAGGATCTCACGATCTATTTGTCTCGTGTGTCTCATTCTGCCAACTCTCTTATCCCTAGTTATCATCCTGTTGGACTAAACATACTCCTGCCTCAGGGCCTTTGTGCCTCTGCCTGAGGTCTGGACTGAGGCCTCTAAAGCTTATCTGGCATTCTCCACCACTTTCTACTGTTACTTCTTTGATGTTCTACAGCGGAACTATCCATTCTCTTCTCGCTTTATTCTTCATATAATTATGAACATCCCAGATACTAATTTACTGTCTATTGACTACTACTAGAAATGAAAATCCTGACAAAGAGTCTCTGGGGGTCACTACTGAATCTCCAGGGTCTGGGCAAGCCCCCTACCACTAAGCTACATTCCCAGCCCACTGCCGAAACTCCCAGGCACAGTTACATTTGCTGAATGAGGTTTTAAAAACTGTGTGTGAGAGCCCTTGCCTGCACGTGCATGCGTGCTTGCACGTGCATGCGTGCACGTGGTGCACGCAGTGCCTACAGAGGGTGCAGGCTCCTCTGAAACCACAGTTACAGACAGCTGCAAGCAGCCACTCGGTGCTGGGCTCTGACCCCAGTCCTCTGCCACAGCAGCCAGTACTCTTAACCACTGAGCCATTTCTCCAGTCCCTGAACTACCTGGACACTGAATGAATTGTGTTTTGTTTTTTTTATAAATATCTGCTAAATGACTGAATTTTCTCCATTGCTGTGGATCTGTTTTCCCCCCAAAGACAGTTTTGTTTATTTTTCTAGGACATTGTCCGTTTTGTCTGTCTAAAACCCAACTGCCATAACTATTGAGTCTTTCGTTTTAATATGATGATGACTGAGCCAGGATCTCTCCACACCGTCAATGGCCTGAATGTGCTATGTAGACCAGCTAACCCAAACCAGCAAAGATGCACCT